AGGCCGAGAAGGAGGGTGCTCCGTCGCCCACACGGAGCGGATGCCAGCCTCGACGACCGCCCAGGGGAGGTCGCCGAACTCCTTCGCCTCATGGCGTCTCCTCGCGCTCTCCAGCCGTGCCTCCAGGGTGTCCACCACCCCCGTGTCACCTACGGCGCCTACCATAGTGACTACTGCACAGCTGCCGGCCTACGAACAACTTAGGTAAGGTGCAACTAAGTCGACTAGACTGAAAGGTAAGTCGGGTGCCGTCCACGCTCACCGCACCATGCGGAGATAACTACTACAACGGGAGCTAGGCTACGGGCTAGGCACGGGTGCTCGTGTGATCTCTGCGTTCGTTCGTTCCTTAGTTGTTTCCAAGTGCTCACACTACTTGCTAGTTCACAGGGAGAATTGGCAAGAGTTTCACTAGGAAAGGTTGACAACAATGGTACAATGAAGTTGGCAAGACTAGACTACATCAGAGCTAGCATGCAAGCAAGTCTACTGCCAGCGCAGCACGGTCGACCGCATGCCAGCACGACTTGGTCGACCGCGCTCCAGCAGTGCAGAGTCGCGGCTTGCCAACGCTGCAAGTCGACGGCGTGCCAACGTCGCAGGTTGATGGTGTGCCAACGTTGCTCCCGCAGGACAGCAGCGCACCCGCTTCGCAGGTGCTCGCAGATGATTGGCGTGCTGTGCCTCGTCACCTGCACAACGCACACACCAAGTCAACCTGGCGCTGACAACTACATCTGATCAGCCACGTCGACCTCGGGATACCACCACCGAGGTCGGACTCGCCAACTTCGCCTGGGCGACCGTCGCACTCCTCCGCAGAACCTCGTCGCCCGGGTAACCTGGTCGACCGGGCAACCACGTCGACCAGCTGCTCCTGTATGTGCCGGTCGACCTCCCAAGTCGACGCCCACCTTCAGTCGACCTCCCCAGGTCGACCACTATGTTCGGTCGACCACCAGGTCGACTTCACGCCTGGTCGACCAACCACCAAGTCGACCAGAAGGCCTGGTCGACGTACCAGGTCGACCAGAAGGCCTGGTCGACGTACTAGGTCGACCAGCAGGTCTGGTCGACCAACCAAGTCGACCAGAAGGCCTGGTCGACGTACCAGGTCGACCAGAAGGCCTGGTCGACGTACCAGGTCGACCAGAAGGCCTAGTCGACGTATTAGGTCGACCAACCAAGTCGACCAGAAGGCCTGGTCGACGTACCAGGTCGACCAGAAGGCCTGGTCGACGTACTAGGTCGACCAGAAGGTCTGGTCGACGTACCAAGTCGACCAGAAGGCCTGGTCGACGTACCAGGTCGACCAGAAGGCCTGGTCGACGTACCAGGTCGACCAGAAGGCCTGGTCGACCAACCAGGTCGACCAGAAGGCCTGGTCGACCAACCAGGTCGACCAGAAGGCCTGGTCGACCAACCAGGTCGACCAGAAGGCCTGGTCGACCAACCAGGTCGACCAGAAGGCCTGGTCGACCAACCAGGTCGACCAGAAGGCCTGGTCGACCAACCAGGTCGACCAGAAGGTCTGGTCGACCAACCAGGTCGACCAGAAGGCCTGGTCGACCAACCAGGTCGACCAGAAGGCCTGGTCGACCAACCAGGTCGACCAGAAGGTCGACCAACCAGGTCGACCAGAAGGCCTGGTCGACCAACCAGGTCGACCAGAAGTTCTGTCAGCCGACCACCCAAGTCGGCTACCCCAAGTTGGCGTCTCCAAGTCGGCGCCCATGCAGTGGCACCCGTGCAGGTCGACTTCCTCGTCGACCAGCTCGCCCACTGCTGCAGGTCGGCTGCACCCCTACACCCGACCACGAAGTCGGCTCCGCCCAAGCGAGGACGGGGCCAACACACAACTCCCGTTGACAGGTCTGCCCGGCCCGAGCACCTGTGCGAATGACGTACGGGCAGCGACCAGTACTCGGAGACTTCCCACGCTGGAAATACCACTCACGAAGCTGCTGGGGCGGAAGGGTGACGCGCGGACCTCGCTGAAGCTGCAGCTGGCCACCACCAGAACCTCCCCACCGAACAGCTCCACCTCGACTGCCGCTGCGGCCGCCTCCACCACTCCCAACGCTGCCCCCACCGCCGCCAAGACTCCCACCACTACCACTAAGAGAAGCCATAGTGGGCAGAGGAAGGAGGTAGGGCAGGAACGGAGACGCACGGGCTGCAGAGGGCGACGTGTAGGTGGGCAGGAGGCAAGCGCGCGGGCTAGGAGAGCGACGCGCTGGCTGGCAGAGCGGTGCGCAGGCTAGCCGAGCGGTGCGCGGGCGGGCAAGACGGCGCGCAGGCTCCGGGATGGCGCTCGGCAGGTCACGGCGGGCGTAGGGCAAGGCAGGGCCGGGCGCGCGGGCTAGCAGAGCGCTGCGCGGGCGGACAGGGCAGCGCGCAAGCCGGCAGGGGCGGCGCGCGGGCTCTAGGGTGGCGCGCGTCGCAGGCAGGGGCCGCGTGCAAGCTCTAGGGCGGCGCGACGGGCAGGCAGGGGCGGCGCGCGGGCTCAAGGGCGGTGCGACGGGCAGGCAGGGGCAGCGCACGGGCTCTGGGGCGGCACGACAGGCGGGCAGGGGCCGCGTGCAGGCTCTAGGGTGGCGCGACGGGCAGGCAGGGGCGGCGCGCGGGCTCGAGGGCGGCGCGACGGGCAGGCAGGGGCGGCGCGCGGGCTCTGGGGCGGCGCGACGGTCTGGCAGAGGTAGCGTGTGGGCTCTAGGGCGGCGCGACGGGCAGGCAGGGGCGGCGCACGGGCTCCAGGGCGGCGCGACGGGGAGGCAGGGGCGGCGCGCGGGCTCTGGGGCGGCGCAGGGCAAGGGCAGGGGCCGCGTGCAGAATCTGGGGCGGCGCACGGCAAGGGCAGGGGCCGCGCGCAGGCTCTGGGGCGGCGCGACGGGCAGGCAGGGGCGGTGCACGGGCTCTGGGGCGGCACGCAACAAGGGCAGGGACCGGGTGTGCGCGCGGCAGCGCGACGCAAAACAGGGCATGGGGTAGCACGGTAACCGCAGACGGTCACTAGCGAAGGGTGGGCCCGAAAAAAAAAAAAAAAAACGGTCCTACGGACCTACTGCTCTGAAACCATGTTAGAATCTAGAAGCAGGAATGAATGCATTGCATGAAACGTGGGTACAAGTATAACCCTAATTGGGTTGTACCCTATATGGGCTACCCCACTACAGCCTACACAGAAATAGCACATATAGTTTGACAGTTTCTTTCGCACGATAACACTCGCTTGTAGCGACGTGGCCCGTTGGATCCGGTTTCGCAGACGCAAAAGCACACTTTCGCTTATGTTGGGCTGAAAGAGCCCTTAGGATCGTTTTCAAGACTAAGACTTAGGATAATGATGTAATTTGCGGAAGCGTTCTAGTGAACTGGTTGAACCACCTTGTGCTGGTGTGTGAGGACAAGATAAGTTGATTATAGCAAGGAAATACAAAGCCTTTTATATAATTACAAGGAATATGAAAGGTTTAACTAACTGCTGTTATAGCTGCTGTTGCGATTCGATACAGCGACGACTCGGGCAACTGCTCAATAACGAGTCAGTTGTGTGTCCTTGCTGTCGCGCTGCTTTTCAGTGAGTCAAAGGTCGCTGACCTTTGACCTTCGCTTAACCTCTTGCTGTTGCTTTTCTTGTCAACCGCTTCACTGTAGTTTCGGTTGACTCGCTGTTGCTTCGCTGTAGTTCGCTTCGTCTTCGCTGTAGTTCGCTTCGTTTACGCTGTGGTGCTTGACACATCAGAAGCACGAACTATATGTTTCCAACAGCTTAGGGCGTGTAACATTGCGATGACCAAACCCAAAATCCGACCATTTGGTCGTGTTGGCCGATATGTGAGGGAAGTGGAAACTAACACCTAAGGCATCCTCTGTAGATTTAGGGTTGCGTGGTTGATTTAGGAGAGCACACACTTAACTACCCCCGTAATTAGAATCTAATGTCTCATCCGAATTTCAGCATTCGAACGGGGTGTAGAAAGTTATGGGCACGAAAAGATGGTAGTGTATAGTAACCCTAGGTCTTTGCGAGTCAAATTCGAGGACTACCACCAGGCCCTCAGATTGGTTTCAGGGCATGCTGATGGATCAGCGTGCCCTGCCCAAAGTCATGACCAAATCAGCGTTGGGGGTTAAGTTTATGCTGATTTTGTTAGGGTAGAATTTCATGGCTGACTGAATGATCAGTGTATTAATCAAATTTAATCATCATAGCCAATATTACTAGCGTAACTGTCCAAGGATCCGCACATACCAGTAAGGTCCCGAGTTCAAACCCCGTGTGTGATAGGTTGCCCGGGTGGCGGTGCTTTAGGCCTAAAGCCCCATGTATGCGCACCCCATTTCCTGTACCCAATACATTTTGGTAAGTCCGAATCAGTGTGACTCGGTACACTATACTGATGCAACGGTAAACACTAAACACAGGGTAGTCCTAAACACACCAGGGTTTTCCGTATACTTGAACACTAATTCGTCAACACTAATTCTTAGGGTAGTCCTATACTTTAAACTGAAAAATCAGTGCAAACATAAAGAAGATACTGAAATTTTAGGGGAAACGAAAATCACAGCTACAAAATCAGCCTAATCAGTGCACTGATATTTGAGGGCCTGACTATCACGTAATGCTAATCTGTGGGTGTGACCCCAAATTGTATCTGTTGGTGACCAAACTGGTCGCATGTACGGTCGCTTGGTTTGGGCGTTTGCTGAATCGGTCGTTATCGTGGTCATTTGGTGGGAAAATCTTGCATCCTTCGCCATCGTGTTACTCCATTCGCATTCGCATGCCCCAACCAAATTGGTCGGATTTTGGGTTTGGTCGCTGCAATGTTATACGCTCTTACACCAATCTCGGCTTTGCGAGTTGGGATAGGAGTTGACCTTGCAACACTGTGAGAGTAGCAAACTTCGGGTGACCAGGCATACATGGATCATCTTATGGAAGCAACGGTAGGATTCTCGAGTCGCGAACAAAATTGTGTCACTTACGGGCAATGCAAAGAGAGTAGTACCTTCGTGGCGAACCTGAACAAGCCTCCCACATGGACCTCAGACATGATCTTGGGATGGGCGGGTCACCGTGATGGTGAGGTGGAGTTTTTGAAGAAGATGCGGCGACGACTGGACAGGTGCTACCCGCGGGCCACTTGCAAGTATGTGTATACATTTACCTTTAGACGTGGTCTCAAATCGGATGATTTATTCATCTGGCTGGACAACAGGAAGTTCATGGAAAAGACGTGGAATAAACGTGGAAAAGACGTGGAAATGACGTGAAAAAGACTTGGCTCATCCGTTCTCCCTGTGACCCGTCTTCCACCCCAAACCATCCCCTCTCCCTTCCCCCCCCCCCCCCCCCACCCCCACCCAATTGCTGTTCTTCCCCAGCGTGAAAGTGTCGTGGCGCAAGACGACGTGCGGTTGAGAGTGTGAAGGGGGAAAGAGGTCCGCACATTTTCCTCTTCCATTCTCCCCATCTCGCACCCCAAACTCCCCCCCTTTCTCCCTTCCCCATCCCTTCCCATTGTTCCCCAGTGAGGGAGTGCTTTGCCTCGGAGCAGAGGTGCGAAAGTTTTGCGGGATTGACATCTGAGAACCCGTGAAGCTCACCAGCTGGCCCGCTCCATTCACAGGATGACGCTGCTGTTGGGGCCGCCAGGCTGCGGCAAGTCAACGCTGCTGAGGATTGTGGCAAGGAAGGCGGAGAGGGAGCTGTGCGTGCAGGGCTAGGTCACGTACACGGGCGCCCGGGGAGCGAGTTTGTGGTGCCGCGGTCCGTGGCGCTTGTGGCTCAGACGGACTCCCACATGGGCAAGATGACCGTCCAGGAGACGCTCCAGTTCTCCGCTCGCCTGCAGGGGCCGGGGCCACACATGGCAGGTGAGGTTTGAGGCGGCTGCAAGCACACAGGGGAGGGGACGGCCGTACTGTTGAGTTGAATGACCGTTTGCGGTCATTTGCGGTCTTGGGCAATTGAAACCGCCACACCTTTCTCCCTCCCGCCCTCCCTACTTCTCTCCCTCCCTCCCTCCCTCCCTACTTCTCTCCTTCGACCCTCCGCGCTCTGCTATGCGCCCCACACAGACCTATGCCGGCAGGTGGAGGAGAAGGAGCGGGAGATGGGAGTCAAGCCGGATGCTGTGTTGCAAGCTGTTATCAATGATGATTCCATGGGGCAATGACGACATGGGGCAATGACGGCATGGGGCAATGACGGCATGGGGCAATGACGGCATGGGGCAATGACGGCATGGGGCAATGACGGCGTGGGGCTATGACGGCATGGGGCAACGACGACATGGGCGTCATGACATCATGGGGCGATGACGTCATGCAAGCCGTATTGTACATGGTGGTGTCATGGAGGTGTTGATGCCATGTGGGTGTTGATGCCATGTGAGTGTTAATCTGATGTTATGGGGAGGACAATGTCATGAGGGGGATGATGGCATCGGGGGATGATGCCATCTAGGTGTTAACGTCACTGTCACATCTATGGTGAAACTCTTGTTTCCCCCAATCGTACACGCGTAGACACTGTTCTTGAGTAGGAAAAGACGTTTTCTACCCAAGTTGACCAGCGAGTCGATTTAAATACTTGCGTTTCTGCTGCCTCGGAGTTAGTTTTGGCTGCCAAGTTGATGCCCCATCTGTTCCGGACATGCGATGCCTTGCGTCTCGAGAGAAACTTCGTCACACATGCAAAGATAAAGTGGGACCTCCTGTGTGCCCTTGTGACAAAAAAGAAAGATACATGTACATCTATAACAATGTTTGGATGGACAGAAATCTGGCAATCCAACTGCTCCTCTCCGAAAACTCTTCACCCCATAACTTTTCCTTTCTGGCGTTGCTGCATGTGTCATAAATGCTTCTGCAGGCGATGGCCGATGAGAGGCGGTGGTCAGATGTTGTGGTGTCGTACGTCCTCAAGGTGTGTGTGTGTGTGGGTAGGTGTGTGTGTGTGTGTGGGTTGGGTGTGTGTGTATGGGTGTGTGGATGTGTGTGTGGGTGTGTGTGTGGGTGTGTGGATGTGTGTGTGTGTGGATGTGTGTGTGTGGGTGTGTGGGTGTGTGTATGTGTGGTAGGGGGTATGTGTGTGTGTGTGTGTGTGTGTGTGTGTGCGTGTGTGCGTGCGTGTATGTGTGTGTGTTTGTGTTCATCATTCTTTTCTCCTTGCTCCGCTCATTTACCCGTACCACACCCGTCCCTTACTTTCTCTCAGCCACCCAACTTTCTTTTTCTCTCTGCCCACATTCGTCCGCAATTAACGCGCCGCACGCCGCACCCCTCCGCTCGTGCCTTACAACTTGTCTTTACACTCCATTGCGCTATCCCCACCCTTACACCTGGGTTGCACATGTGTGCCATTACCCTTATCCCCAGCCTCTTCTTCCGTTCTCTCTTTGCTTCCACCCACTGCCACCTGATCTGCAGATGCTCGAGCTGGACGTGTGTGCTGATACCATGGTGGGGGCCAGCATGCGGAGAGGAATATCAGGAGGCGAGAAGAAGCGCGTTACCATCGCCGAAGCACTCCTGGGATCTCCTCCAGGCTCGACTCAGCCACTGCCTATCAGATCATACGATTTCTACGCAGCCTCACGCACTTAACTAATACCACCACCCTCATCTCCCTGCTGCAACCCGCACCGGAAACCTTCGAGCGGTTCGATGACGTCATGCTGATGTCAGAGGGGCAGATTGTCTACCATGGGCCTAGGGAGGAGGTGCTGGGATTTTTAAAGGAAATGGGGTTTGCGCCGCCCGCCCGCAAGGGAGTGGTCGACTTCCTGCAAGAGGTGCGTTTCCCCCGTGCTGCCTCGCACTTGCTCCTGAATACTCTTGAAGGTAACTCGCATGTTTCTCCCAAGGTGCCTCGAGTTGGTCCCGATAGCTCTCAGTATTAATCGTCTTGTTTTTCTCTCAGCTTCTGTTCGTCGGCTTCCTGTTTGTGTGTCTCAAATCCCCCCTTTAGGTCACCTCGTTAAAAGACCAGGTGCAGTACTGGCACCCATCCCAGCGCCACCCATATTGCTACGTGTCTGTTCGAGCCTTCGAGGAGGCATTTCGAGCCTCCTGGTTCGGGAAGCAGATGGAGGTAGAAATGTCCATTCCATTCAAGAAGGATCGGGTCGCAGTCAAGGTAGAGGATGGGGGAAAGAACATGGAATATATGGAAGAAGGTTAGGGGAAGGACGTGGAAAATGGGGGAGAGGGGGGAAACGGATGCAGCGAGGAGGAGGAGTGTGTTAGAATCCTATGAAGGATGAGAACTGAGAATTGAAAGGATTGGTTTAGAATGAGAAATAGGAGGTATACATAGTTGAGCTAAAAGAGTGGGGTTGGTTGGGAGCGTGGCCAAGATTATTGGCCCCCACCAATAATTGGGTTGGAGGAATTATTGGAGCCTCCAATAAACATAGGGCCCCAGTAATTCTCTAACCCAACCTTTGGGGGCCAAACATTTTTGGCCAAGGTTGGAACCAAAGCATAACTAGGGTAAACCCTAGTTATACACCCAAATCAGGTTTGGGTGCGTAACTCTAGACAAGCAAACTAGAATATGCAGGCTAAATAGAATAGAGGTATTCTAACACAACCCCTTAGCCTGCATAAAGCTAGGAGGCTTGAATGATTTACGGGACAACCCTTGAAGCATGAAGTTGATGCCAGGCAGAGAAGCTGAGGAAAGGGGTTGCGGCGGTGATTCTGTATGCCAGCCGGGAGGGGGAGGGGGAGGGCTGCTGCAGGTGAGGATGCAAGCCAGCCAAAGGTGCCGTGGCGGTGAAGTGGCCGCAGAGGAGGCGCAGGCGGTCGCGGCGAGGAGGCGGGTGAGGTGGGGTAGGAAGCGATGGCGACTGCGAGATGGCGGTGGTAGCGGGAGGGCTGCGGTGGCGAAGAGAGATGGCGACGGCAGCGGGAGGGCTGCGGCGGCAGCGGGAGGGCTGCGCCGGCGAAGGGAGACGGCGGCAGCAGCGGGAGGGCTGCGGCGACGAAGGGAGATGGCGGCGGCAGCGGGAGGGCTGCGGCGGCGAAGGGAGAAGGGGGAGGATGGCTGGATGGCCCGAAGGAGGAGGAAGCGAGGGGGAAGGGGGAGGAGGGCTGGATGGCCCGAAGGAGGAGGAAGCGAGGGGGAAGGGGGAGGAGGGCTGGATGCCCCGAGAAAGGAGGAAGAGAGGGGGTAGGGGGAAGCGCCGTTAGGCGCGTGGGCGGAAGCGACGGAAGCAGGGCGCCATTGGGCGCGTAGGTGGAAGAGACGGCAGCAGGGCGCCTTTAGGCGCGAGGGCGAAGGCGACGGCAGCAGGCCGCGCAGCGGTGGCGATGCGGCGGACGTGGAGCGCCGAAATCGCCCCGAAATTGCGTCCACACGGCTGCTGGTCGCAACGGCCGCGACGGTCGCGATTCGACGGGCGTAGGGCACCGAAATCGCCGCGAAATCGCGTCCGCGCGGCTGCTGGTCGAAATCGCGTCCGCGCGGCTGCTGGTCGCGACGGCCTTGACGGTCGCGATTCGGCGGGCGTGAGGTGCCGAAATCGCCGCGAAATCACGTCCGCGCGGCTGCTGGACGCGACGGCCGCGACGGTCGCGATTCGGTGGATGTAAGGCGCCGAAATTGCCGCGAAATCGCGTCCGCGCGGTTGCTGGTCGCGACGGTCGCGATTCGGGGGGCGTAGGGTGCCGAAATCGCTGCGAAATGGCGTCCGTGCGGCTGCTGGTCGCGACGGCCGCGACGGTCGTGATTCTGCGGGCGTAGGGTGCCGAAATCGCCGCGAAATCGCGTCCGCGCGGCTGCTGGACGCGACGGCCGCGACGGTCGCGATTCGGCGGACGTAGGGCGCCAAAATCGCCGCGAAATCGCGTCCGCGCGGTTGCTGGTCGTGGCGGCCACGACGGTCGCGATTCGGCGGATGTAAAGCGCCAAAATCGCCATGAAATCGCGCCCGCGCGGCTGCTGGACGTGACGGGAGGGTCTCGCGCAAGGCGGAGCGGAAATGGTGGCAATTGCCCAAGGGAAGCAGAGAAGGGAGGCGTGGAAGTATACGCAGGACACATGGTCCTAGGATCGGGAGGGGCGTGAGCCAAAATGCTATGATAGCATGTTAGAATCCTATGAAGGATGAGAACTGAGAATTGAAAGGAGGTATACATAGTTGAGCTAAAAGAGTGAGGGAGTTGGTTGGGAGCGTGGCCAAGATTATTGGCCCCCACCAATTATTAGGTTAGAGGAATTATTTGAGCCTCCAATAATCATAGGGCCCCAATAATTCTCTAACCCAACCTTTGGGGGCCAAACATTTTTGGCCAAGGTTGGAACCAAACCATGGCTAGGGTAAACCCCAGTTATACACCCAAATTCGGTTTGTGTGCTTAACTCTAGACAAGCAAACTATAATATGCAGGCTAAATATAATAGAGGTATTCTAACAGAGTGTGTCTCCTGCCATGGCACAGAGGCGGTTTGTGCTTCCTCCTCTTGCGATGCTCACTGTTGTGGCGGGCCCGAGTGGCTGCTGATGAGGCGGAATCTGCTGCTCTACATCATGCAGACCGTGTAGGTGGAAATATGTACCCCTATACATTGCAGGCCATATGCATGTAGTACAGATGTTCCTTCCTAATACCACTTATGTCACGTGCTGTGCTCGTAGAAATCTATTTCTTATAGTAAGCGGTTCTCACCCACTTGTCTTATGTCACGTCTTCTTCTTCCTTATCCCCTCTCCATTCCAGATCCTCCCCCTTGCTATAGTCACAATGACTGTCTTCTGGCGATGGCAGTTGGCCATCACGCCTGTGGACGGCAACTACTATCTGGAAGCCATCTTCTTTGGCATAATCACAATGCTTTTCGGTGGCTTCATACAGATCACGCTGCTCACGGCGCGCCTGCCCATCTACTTCCTCCAACGGGACAACCTGTTGTTCCCCGCGTGGGTGTGGTAGGTGCCCATGGGGCTGCTCTCTCTGCCCGTCTCCCTCTGGTCCGCTACGGTCTGGACCGCTGTCACCTACTATGGCATCGGTTTTGCACCGGAGTTCACCCGGTGAGTCTTTCGCCTCACCCATATAGGTAGGTTCAGTGAGGTACGGTACGGTCCGCCAAGTAGGTCTCTTCGGGGACTCGTATCGTAGGTTTTTTTTTGCAGCCTCTGTGTTCGTCCTATTCGTGAAAGGCAGGGCATGAGAGATTTCTTGCAGCTCTTGAGGTGTCTGCTGTTGTTTCCCCCCTGCCGACCCTATCTCCTGTTCCCCCGCTCTCACCCTAGACCTAAAACCCTGTCATTCTCACGCACATTCACCCCTGCCTATCTCTCCTCCCTTGCAGCTTCATGACCCAGCTGCTGCTATTCTTCCTTACCCACGCGGCCACCTCTGCGCTGTACCGAGCCATGGGAGTCATCCGCACCGCAGCACCGTTCTGGTCAACACGCTTGGCAACTTCATCCTCGCGCTCCTTTTCCTGCTCTCCGGGTTCATCATCACCAAACGTACGTGCTGTGCTTCTTAGGGCTGTTTGTACTTATCTGTATAGGTATGTAATGGACCCATTCGTGCCTCGTTTGTGTGAGAGCAGCCAGCCGAATTCAGGCCTCCTCTTTCTGCACTTTGGTTTCCTCATTATCAAAAGCATGTGGTCGGGGTTTCTGCTATACATGAGCATGGCCTGAATTGCGTGTGCGTGTGGGTGTCCTGGCTGTCTGTCGCCCCTCGCCTACTGTTCGCTCATCCCATCCCATCTTCTCCTGTTCCATGCCCCCCTTTTTGCCCCTGCACCAGACATCCATGGCGTGTGGGTGTGGGTGTACTCGCTATCACCACTCACTTACGTGCTCAACGCTTTCTCCACCAATGAGTTTCTCGCCCCAAGATGGGATGTGGTACGTGCTGTGCCTCGGTAAGGTATGGTACGGCACGGTGCGTAACGGTCCAGTACGGTACAGTATGGTAGGTTAGTTTAAGGTTGGGAATAGCATATACATCACAATGTATGCACACATTGTACTTGGTTTACTACTTCCCCGCAAGGGATGTGGTATGTCATGTTGAGTGGCATACAATGTGGTGGGCATCAGGCATGTCATGTTGTGTCGTAGCACGTGCTGTACCATGCCATGTGTGGTGCCTGCATACATGTCCTTTTCTGGTCCACAAAGACCCCCATCTCCCTCATTCCGTTCGCATTGTCCCCAGTCCGTTTTTCTGCCAGTCCGTTTATCTGCCAGTCCGTTTATCTGCCAGTCCGTTTATCTGCCAGTCCGTTTATCTGCCTCCAATCTGCTTCTCCCTCCTTCCCCCCCTCCTTCCTCCTCTTCTTTCTTCTCCCCCCCTTATTCTTCCATCCTCCTCCCTCTCATCCCTTCGCCCCCTTTCCTCCCTCCTGCCGCATATCCATTCTCTCCTCCATCTCTTCCTTCCCTCGCCCCCTCCTGCCAGCCCTCTACACCGCCATCGCTGAACATGACAATGGGAGAGCACGTGCTAGAGGCGCGCAACCTGTGGACGCAGGGCTACTGGGTGTGGGCGGATGCTGCCATCGGTGTCTTTTTCACTCTCTTCTGCAACGCGGTTACCATCCTCGCACTCAAATATCTCAACCGTAAGCACCGCACTTAAATATCTCAATCCTGTTCTTGCTGCCTCCCTTCCTCTTGCCTCATCTCCCTTCCTCTTGCCTCCCCTCACTTCCTCTTGCCTCCCCTCACTTCCTCTTGCCTCCCCTCGCTTCCTATTGCCTCCCCTCGCTTCCTCTTGCCTCCCCTCCCTCTTGCTTCCCCTCGCTTCCTCTTGCCTAATCCCAACGCACCTCTCTCACGCTTGCTCCGCTGTCCTCGCCCTCATCCTCCTCATCCGCTCACCCTCCCTCCCCGCGGCCTTACCCAAGGAGCAACCAGTGATCCCCCCAACTCATCCTGCTCTTCCCCTCTTCCTTCTCCTCGTCCCATGTCCAACCCCACCTCTTCCGACAATCAGACGTCCCAACTCACTCCTCTCTTGCTCTCTGCCTCCGCTTCCCAATCTTCACCCCTTCCTCCCGCCCCGCCCACCCCCCCGCACGCCCATTTCCCAGCGTGGCCCCGGGCGCAGCCAGTGATTTCCCAGCATCAGCTTGACGCGCGGGAAGCAGCTCTAATCGGCAGCAATTTGCCGGGAAACGACCATATTGACGGAGAGAACAACAGAAACATGCTGTTCCCTTGGCCACACACAGCAGAAACATGTTGTTCCCTTGGCCACACACAGCAGAAACAAGCTGTTCCCTTGGCTACACACAGCAGAAACAAGCTGTTCCCTTGGCCACACAGAATAGCAGCAGGAGAATCCACAGCAGCAGGAACACCCATAACAGCAGCAGCAGCAGCAGCAGCAGGGAAATCCACAGCAGCAGTAGCACCAACAAGAGCAGGAGGAGGAGCATTGGCAGCATCGGAGAGAATCACTGTTGTCATGCATGCAGATGCGCACGAGCCTCATCCGCACCACAAAGAGTACTATGCTTCTGATTCTCATGCCCCTCATGTTCCCGATGCTCTCTCTGGTGTGGGGGAGGTGAAGCAGCACGGCATGGTTCTCCCGTTCACCCCTCTCACTCCCTCTTTCCACAACGTTAACTACTTCGTTGACATGCCCGCCGACCAGCGCCTGCAGCTGCTGCGTAATGTGTCCGGTGTGTTTCGTCCCGGAGTGCTGACAGCTTGGTGTCTGGGGCGGGGAAGACCACGCTAATGGATGTGCCGGCAGGGAGGAAGACCAAGATATCTGCGTATCTGGGTACCCCAAGGTGCAGGAGACGTTTGTGAGGGTGTCAGGGTATTGTGAGCAGGAGGACATTCACACTCACACGCCCCAGGTGACATTCACACGCCCCAAGTGACATTCACACGCCCCAGGTGACATTCACACGCCCCAAGTGACAACCACACGCCCTAGGTGACATTCACACGCCCCAAGTGACATTCACACGCCCCAGGTGACATTCACACGCCCCATGTGACACTCACACGCCCCAGGTGACATTCACACGCCCTAGGTGACATTCACACGCCCCAAGTGACATTCACACGCCCCAGGTGACCTTCAGACGCCCCAGGTGACATTCACACGCCCAAGCTGACATTCACACGCCCCAGGTGACATTCATACGCCCCGGGTGATATTCACACGCCCCAGGTGACATTCACACGCCCCAAGTGACATTCACACGCCCCAGGTGACATTCACACGCCCCTGGTGACATTCACACATTCCAGGTGACATTCACACGCCCCAGGTGATATTTACACGCCCCAGGTGACATTCACACGCCCCAGGTGACATTCACACGCCCCATGTGACATTTACACGCCCCAGGTGACATTCACACGCCCCAGGTGACATTCACACGCCCCAGGTGACATTCACACGCCCCAGGTGACATTCACACGCCCTAGGTGACATTCACACGCCCCACGTGACATTCACACGCCCCAGGTGACATTCACACGCCCCAGGTGACATTCACACGCCCCAAGTGACATTCGCACGCCCCAGGTGACATTTACACGCCCCAGGTGACATTCACACGCCCCATGTGACATTCACACGCCCCAGGTGACATTCACACGCCCCAGGTGATATTCACACGCCCCAGGTGACATTCACACGCCCCAGGTGACATTCACACGCCCCGAGTGACATTCGCACGCCCTAGGTGACATTCACACGCCCCAGGTGACATTCACACTCCCCAGGTGACATTCACACGCCCCAGGTGACATTCACACGCCCCCGGTGACATTCACACGCCCCAGGTGACATTCACACGCCCCAGGTGACATTCACACGCCCCAGGTGACATTCACACGCCCCAGGTGACATTCACACGCCCCAGGTGACATTCATACGCCCCAGATGACATTCACACGCCCCAGGTGACATTCACACGTCCCAGGTGACATTCACACGCTCCAGGTGACATTCACACGCCCCAGGTGACATTCACACGCCCCAGGTGACATTCACACGCCCCAGGTGACATTCACACGCCCCTGGTGACATTCACACGCCCCGGGTGATATTCACACGCCCCGGGTGACATTCACATGCCCCGTGTGACATTCACACGCCCCAGGTGACATTCACACGCCCCGGTGACAATCACACGCCCCGGGTGACATTCACACGCCCCGGGTGACATTTACACGCCCCAGGTGACATTCACACGCCCCAGGTGACATTCACACGCCCCAGGTGATATTCACACGCCCCAGGTGACATTCACACGCCCCAGGTGACATTCACACGCCTTGGGTGACACTCACACGCCCCGGGTGATATTCACACGCCCCAGGTGACATTCACACGCCCTGTGTGACATTCACACGCCCCAGGTGACATTCACACGCCCCGGGTGACATTCACACGCCCCGGGTGACATTCACACGCCCCGGGTGACATTTACACGCCCCAGGTGATATTCACACGCCCCAGGTGACATTCACATGCCCGAGGTGACATTCACACGCCCCAGGTGACTGTGACTGTGCACGCCCCAGGTGACCATGCACGAGTCTCTGCTCTACTCCGCCTGGCTGCGCCTGCCCGGGAGATGGACAGGGATGTGATTCTGGTGTGGTGAGGCAATGGTAGTGGCCATGTTGAGTGGAAGGGTGTGCTTATGGTGAATGAGTGTCATAATGGTATATTTGAGAGACGCGATAATGGTGAAAAGGGTGATGTGAAAACGGTGAATCGAGTAATGTGATTATGGTGGAGGGTGGGGGGGATGTGATTTCGGTGAATGGAGAGATGTAATTACGATGGATTGAAAGATATGATCATGACAAATGAAGACATGTGATGATGGTGAATCAAGAGTTGCGGTTATGGTGAATTGAGAGTTGTGATAATGGTGAACTGTGAGGTGTGAAATTTATGAATGGTAAGATGTAACTTCCCCGGTGTGGTGAGGACTCCCTAAGGAGTCTTGTGTACTATCTATCATCTCTTCCTCGCCTCACCCTCTTCTCTCCCCCTCCATCCCAATAGGAGTTCGTGGAGGTGGTGGAGGAGCTGGTGGAGCTGGAGGCGGTGAAGGGGTGGGAACGGCGGGGCAGGACGGGCTGTCGGTGGAGCAGAGGAAGCGGCTCACCATCGCAGTGGAGCTCGTTGCCAACCCGGCCATCATCTTCATGGATAAACCCACCTCAGGTAGCTCCTCTCCCTCAATCTTCACCTCCCTTGTCAACACCTCCCCTCATTCAATACCTCCCCTCAGGTAACGCCTGCTCATCAGTTAACATCTATTCCTTTGGAGATATTCGTTTCAGTTTATTGCTCATTTAGGGGTCATTTGTCATTTTCCCCTTCCATGATCCGTCCCTTTCTTGTCTTGAGGCGTCCTTCCTTCCTTCCTTCCTCCTTGGTGATGAGTTAAGCAAGCATGGATAGATAGTAAAATGGTCAACACTGGTCGCACCAATTTCTCCCATGTTTCTCCTATCTCGCTCCTCTCTGCCGCTCTCTTTTCCCATCCTCTTCCTCCTCCCTCTCGGGCTGGGAGGCGCGAACAGCGGCCATAGTGATGAGCGCGCGGTGTGCCACAGTCAAGACTGGTCGCACCTCTTTCCCTCCCTCCCATGCTTACCTCTTTCCCTCGCCTGCTCACCTCTTTCCCTCCCATGATTACCTCTTTCCCTCGCCTGCTCACCTCTTTCCCTCCCATGATTACCTCTTTCCCTCGCCTACTCAACTCTTTCCCTCGCCTGCTCACCTCTTTCCCTCCCATGCTTACCTCTTTCGCTCGCCTGCGCACCTCTTTCCCTCCCATGATTACCTCTTTCCCTCGCCTGCTCACCTCTTTCCCTCCCATGCTTACCTCTTTCCCTCGCCTGCTCACCTCTTTCCCTCCCATGCTTACCTCTTTCTCCCTCGCCTGCTCACCTCTTTCCCTCCCATGCTTACCTCTTTCCCTCGCCTGCTCACCTATTTCCCTCCCATGATTACCTCTTTCCCTCGCCTGCTCACCTCTTTACCTCCCATGCTTACCTCTTTCCCTCGCCTGCGCACCTCTTTCCCTCCCATGCTTACCTCTTTCCCTCGCCTGCGCACCTCTTTCCCTCCCATGCTTACCTCTTTCCCTTGCCTGCGCACCTCTTTCCCTCCCATGCTTACCTCTTTCCCTCGCCTGCTCACCTCTTTCCCTCCCATGCTTACCTCTTTCCCTCGCCTGCTCACCTCTTTCACCACCTTCTTACCTCTTTCCCTCACATTTGTTCGCCTTCTTGCCTCTCTCTCCTTCCCCACAATCTGTCGTGTTCACCGTTCCGTAGGTGAACCTGCGGAAGGATCATTGACACACTCAGTGAGCCCTTGGGCTGCGGGGTCAATCGCAGCCCGAACCCCGGGTCGGCAGGTGCAGCGCTCGCGTTGCATCAGCGTCCTGAGTGGGGAAAGCGCGTGCTCACGTCCCACTCGCGGAAAGGGCTCGGGTTTCACCCGTGCCCCGGATGCGGCGGCGGCGGAGAGAGATGGACGGGCCTCTTGCTGCCTCTTCGGAAGAGGCGAGATGCTCAGAGCACGCCCGAGGGCTTGGACCGGCGTTCAGCCGGCCTGCCGGACCGCAAGCCGGTGGCTTCGTCGGAGAACCCATCGGAACAATGCCGAGCCCCACCTCAGGCCGAGCCCCACCTCAGGCTGAGCCCCACCTCAGGCCGAGCCCCACCTCAGGCCGAGCCCCACCTCAGGCCGAGCCCTACCTCAGGCCGAGCCCCACCTCAGGCCGTGCCCCACCTCAGGCCGTGCCCCACCTCAGGCCGAGCCCCACCTCAGGCCGTGCCCCGCGACCTTGTCGTTCGTTTTGGCGAGCAATCGGCAAGCAAGTGGGCGTGTAGGGGCGTGAAAAAAGTTGGAGCACCGATTTATTCGTTGTGGTGCTGAATGGAAGGCACACCCAGACGGGCATGGAGCACCGCCTCGGTTGATCTCGGTTGATCCAATAGTGATGAATGTGGTGCACATGACAGCGAACACGGGTCTTAAGCAGCACCCTAGGCTATTAAAACCTCGCTCTCCCCGCTTTCTCCTGTCCTTCGATTGTGTTCATGTCAGGGCTGGATGCGAGGGTAGCGGCCATAGTGATGATGGTGGTGCACAACACAGTGAAGACTGGCCGCACAGTGGTGTGCACCATCCACCAGCCGGCCATCGACATCTTTGAGGCCATTGACAAGGCATGGCGTCATGGTGTATGGATCGATGGATGGATGGATGGATGGACACAACAGCTGCAGCATGCGGCAAATAATGTGTGTCGATGTGCAACGTGATGTGACGCAGTGGGCACATGTCGCATGGTAGTGTGCACCATCCACTAGTAGCCCTCCGTTGACGTCTTTCACGATGTGTTAAATGCTTGTAGTACACTAAGATTGCATGCACTACATTGTGTGTGACATACTCTGCACATGACATACTTGCGGAGATAACTAGAACAACGGGAGCTTGTACTACGGGGTAGGCACGGTTGTGAGGGTGATCTCTGCGTTCCTTAGTCGTTTACTTGTTCTCTCACTACTTGCTCATTCACGGGGAGATTTGGCAAGAGTTTCACTAGCAGAAGTTGACAACAAGGGTTCAGAATGATAGCCACAACATTAGCAAGGATGACTACATCAGGGCTGGCAAGCATGCAGGTCGACTGCCAGCGCAGCACGGTTGACTGCGTTCCAGCACGACATGGTTGACCACGCTCCAGCAGTGCAAAGTCGCGGCCTGCCAACGCTGCAAGTCGACGGCGTGCCAACGCTGCAGCGAGGCGGCTGCACAACGTTGCTCCCGCAGGACAGCAGCGCACCCGCTTCGCAGGTGCACGCAGATGATTGGCGTGCTGTGCCGCGTCACCCGCACAGCGCAAGGCACCAGGTCGTCCACGTGCTATCAACTGCACCTGATCAGCCATGTCGACCTCGGGATACCACCACCGAGGTCGACTTCGCCAGAACCACCTGGACGACGATCGCGCACCTCCGCAGATCCCCGTCGCTCGGGTAACATGTTCGACCGGGAAACCACCAAGTCGACGTTGACTTGCGTGGCCAGTGTCGACCAGCTGCTGTACGCGCCCGTCGACCACCCAGGTCGACGTCCTCTAGCCATCTTAACAAAGTCCGCAACTCCCCAAGTCGGCGCCCCCAAGTCGGCGCCGACTTCTAAGCGTCCCCTGAAGTCGGCGACCTCCTGAAGTCGGTGACCACCTGAAGTCGGCGCCGACTTCCAGGTCAACCTTCAGAAGTCGGCGATCTCCTGAAGTCGGCGCCGACTTCCAAGTCGACGAGCCCCATCGTCGACCACCAGTTAAAGTAGGCCACCGGCTTCCCAAGTCGGCGGCATTACAGTGGCCTCGTGCAGGTCGACCAAACTCGTCGATCAGCTCGCCCGAGTTGGCGACACCCACTGCTGCAAGTCGGCTGCACTTCTTGTACACCCAACCCCGAAGTCGGCTCCGCCCAAGCGAGGACGGGGCCAACACACAACTCCCGTTGACAATACTGTGGTGAGCAGTGCACCATACACCAATCGTTTTTGGGTGTCTTTTATGTGTTTCAGGGGGAATAACATTCATGCAACATCCGTATGCACTGTAGCGAATGTACAACACTCTAACGAGGCTTAACAAATAGTGTAATGCAGTCAACACCTGTACGCACTGATTAGCATCATACAGCAACTCGCCCCTCTTTGGTCTTTCTTGCCCCTTCCTTCTCATACCCCTTGTCTCTCCACTGTATCTGACTATGCGTCTTGCAGTTGTTGCTGATGCAGCTAGGAGGAGAGGTCATCTATGTAGGACCGTTGGGGACGCAGTCGTGTGATCTCATTCACTACTTCAAGGTAAGGCACGCAGTGCTACTCGAGGTAAGCCATGTGAGTGGTTCTTTACCACAGGATGTCAATGTAATCACTTATTATTTGAAGTAGCTGCGAGCACTTGTGCATCAATGTAGGAAACAACTATTTTAAAAAGTCACATGTAGCGTCCTAGACGCTGGCGACCAAACCAAATGCAGCGTTTGGGATGAACACAAATAAACTCAAAGTAGCACCAATAAACAAGTACTTTAGAAGAACTCGAAGCAATACCGAATAATCTTCAAGCTAAAGTCTCCGACACCGCTCCCTCTCATCCGTCTCCACAGTAATATACCCCTTAAAAACAAGGTCTTTTGCAACATTGTGGTATATGACAGGAATGACAGCTGAAACCATTGGCATGGGATTGGACTGGAACATGAGGCCATCTTCCCTCATGGCCTAACTGTTCTTCTCCCGCCAGTCCACAATTATCTACTTCCCTTCCACCCGCCCATCCATCGTTAAAGCAAAGTTGTTCCCCGTCTTTCCTTATAACCTCCCCCAGCATGCGTGCAGTCCATCTCGGGGGTGTCGCCCATCCAGCCCAGCGCCAACCCAGCAGCGTGGATGCTCGAGGTCACGGCGCCAACAGCAGAGAAGCTTGGAGTCGACTTTGCCCACCTCGTCCGCCACTCAGAGCAGTTCAGGTGACGAAAACAGAGCCACAGGCTAGGCCATCAGAGGCTCAGGTGAGGCCAACTGAGGCTCAGATTCTCTCTTCTGGGTGATAAGCATGTTCTGATGAGAACAACAGAGCCTCCAGACAAAAAACTCCTCCTCTTCTTCCCAACCCACTATCCCTCACACACCCTTCTTCCAATCACTCACGTACCTTCTTACCACTTCTGCTCCTACCCTTCAATCCCGAGCCCTCTCCCCAATCTTCCGCACTGTCCTCTCATACTTCTCTCCCTTATATACATAACCTTTCCGATTCAGCCAGGCATGTGCCACACACAGACAGTGCTCCTACAACATCGTTCTTCACCTCTCTTTAATACCCATAACCCTTCTCCCCCTCCCCATTTACCCTCTGCTCCCCCCATGCCTACAGTCCGTATTCAGGAATCCAGTGTGCCTCACTCGCCTCCCCTCCTCCTGTCTCCCCTTCTCTCGCTTTACATTCTCATTACCTTACCTCAAACTTGCTTCAACATCTCCTTCCTGTAGGCCTCATCTCAGGAACCAAGCATGCGTCCTCGCCTCCTTGTCTTATCTCCCCTCCCTCCCATACACCTCGAAACACTCCCTAATTAACAAATCCATATGCTTTTCTCTCCCATATTCTTGGCACCCACAGGTCCCTTCACTCGCTCCGTGAAAGTAGTGTGCCTTTCAAAACGCTCCGAACATTTCCTTCCCAATGCATATGGCTCTCCTCATCATGGCTCTCCTCATCATGGCTCTCCTCATCATGGCTCTCCTCATCATGGCTCTCCTCATCATGGCTCTCCTCATCATGACTCTCCTCATCATGGCTCTCCTCATCATGGCTCTCCTCATCATGGCTCTCCTCATCATGGCTCTCCTCATCATGGCCATCCTCATCATGGCTCTCCTCACCATGGCTCTCCTCAACATGGCTCTCCTCATCATGGCTCTCCTCATCATGGCTCTCCTCATCATGGCTCTCCTCATCATGGATCTCCTCATCGGCGCCGTCTTCTTTGGCTTCGGCCGCACCTGCGACACGCCGCAGCAGATTGTGAACGTCACCGGGGCGCTTTGCACGACGGCTCTCTTCCTCGGATGGAGCAACATCGCCACGATCCAGCCGATCATTGCCATGGAAAGGAGTATCTATTACCGCGAGCGGGGTGCCGGCATGTTTGTGGCGATCCCATACGCGCTCGCGCAAGGGGTGATCGAGCTGCCATACCTTGCGGTTCAAGCAAGAATCTATGCATCAATAACATACTTGCTCATTCGGTTTGAGTGGATGCCTGGGAAGTTCCTGTGGTACCTGCTGTTCCAGTTCTTCACGCTGCTCTACTTCACATGTTTCGGCATGATGGCGAGCGCCATCACGCCCACTGAAGGGCTGGGCACGCTCCTCTCTGCCTTCGTCTACTCCATCTGGAATCTTCTCTGGGGCTTCCTCCTGCCGCAGCTGGTGAGTGTGATGCTTATTGGGTTGTGATTACCACACACTAATAACAGCATGTTTTGAAACACCCATGCATACAGCATTGTGGCAGTCCCATGACGTGATGCTTGTGGTTGTGTGCGTGCCATCGGATCTCACTTCACACCGTTTCCTCCAATACCATCGCCTCTCTCACAACATCACTGTCCTGTCTCATGGCTAATCGTGTATCATTTTTGAGAAGTCTCACAAGTGATATGAGCACGACCTTATATGATTTTCCACATCACTGTCATATCAAATTACTCTCCTATACATGCATACAATTGTTAAAAAGGATGTGTATTGGAAAAGGTTCTATTGACCCCTTTGCATGCTCCCCCCCCCCCCCAATAGAAAATCCATGTGTAACTTTTGAACCGACTCAAAATCAACCCTTCCCCCCCCCCCCCCCCCCCCCCCCCCCCCCCCCCCACATTTATCAGGAAATTCGTGTATACTGGAAATGGCTTTACTGGGTCAACCCGGTCGCATGGTCTCTCTACGGCATCTCAGTGTCTCAGGTAGACTTGTCTCTAACCATTCCCGCAACCTCCGTGCTTGTGCGTTTGCGTGTCAGATACATGTGTGTACCCACGCAAAGTCTCGGAAATGAGTGCAGGGAACTCACAATTGGGGGGTAGAACCAAGCTCATGATTGAGAGCTCTGCCGAGCTAGTAATTTCACTCCTCCCACTCCCCCTACCAATTGTTCCTTGTTTCTTGCTTCATCACTGGTTGCTTTCAGTTGGGAAATGTAACAACGCTGGTGGTGAGTCCACCGGGCATGCTAGCTCAGACGGTATCGCAGTTCATCCAGCTCTACTACGGCTTCTCCCACGAGTGCCTCGACTATGCCACTGCTGCTCTGCTCGCCTTCTCCTGCCTCTTCTTCTGTGTGTTCACCTACGCCCTACGTAACCTCAACTTCCAATGGCGATAGAATTGGGAGAGATAAAATGCGTTCAAGAACGGTATGGATGTGAGGTATGTCAGATAATAACTGCGATTATGTGACACATTCAGTGAGGGCGAATGGCATAACTGTATATAATATAAATATTGTGAATTAAGTGAGTGAAGCCTAAGGCGTGGCAGTTGGAGGAGCTGAGGTGTCAGGGGGGTGAGGCGATCCAGAAGAGAAGGGCGGCTAAAGAGAGGGTGAGGGTATTGGGGTCCGAGGAGGACAAGAGTGTGACAGCTGGGGCTGTAATGTTGCTGCATCCATGAGTGTTAGTTTTGCATGTCTGCAGCCGAACCGAAGTGTCAAACCAGCTGCAATTCACTGCAGTGTAGCTGCAGGGAGTAGGGTGGGAAAAGCCCTTTGAATGTTTTAGAGACTAGACTTGAACTTTTACCAATATGTTTTTAAGTCAGGATTAATTGCACTAGTAAACGAGAACAAGAAATACCACCAAAATTAAAGAAACACAGAAAAAGGGTACCGGTACAAGAGAATATATAGTCATATGTGTTGGAAATATATAAATGCGCTTCTGGAAGGTCGAGAACTACAACAATAACGAAACGAGCCCTAAGCGAAGCAACATCAATTCAACCAAGTTACAGTGAAGCGATTGACAAAAGCGACAACATTGGGAAGTTAAAGCGAAGGTCAAAGGTTAGCGACCTTTGACTCGCCGAGGCAGCGCGACAGCAAGGACAAATAACTGAACTCGACATTGAGCAGTTACCCGAGTCGTCGCTGTATCGAACCGCAGTAGAGGTTACAATCACGGTTAAACACAAAGCGGTTTTCTATGATATTCTTGTAATCTTATATAATTCTATATCTTTGCATTATAATCAACTTATCTTGTTCTCACATACAAGTGCAAGGTGGTTCAATCAAGTTTCACTAGAACGCTTCCGCTAATATATCTCTTGAGTCTTAGTCACTTAAAAGATCCTAAGGGCCTTTCTCAGCCCAACATGGTATAAGAGCAGGAAGTACAAGACTCAACTATTATCCTTTTATCTTCTACAACTCAAGACAACAGAAGACATGGCAACACAGAAAGAGAGGGGATCATCCACTGGATCCCCCGGCACTACTCCTACTCCACCTCCGGTCTCTGGACTACAAGCAGAAGGGGGCACTGCCCAGGGACCAGCTGCAGAATCCACTGAAGCACCCGTGAACCAAGGAGTTGGCTTTGACCCAAGTATGATGGAGAAATTCTTCTCCTTCATGTCCTTCTACGAGCAACAAGAAGCAGCACCTGCGCAATCAAACAACAGCGACAACAACAATGGTGTCACTCCCATGAGTCTCGATGGCTCTCCCTTTGCGCGCGGAAATCAGCAACCCACATTCGCGCCATATGAGCCCCAACGCGGCTCTGTCAGCTTCATGCCGAATCATCTTCAACCTGGACGAGAAATGAAGCCAATGGACGCGCTTCAGCTGCAGTCACAATTCGCACACGTGCTAAAACTACAGACAACAACACCATTCGACGGAAAAGACTTCTATACCTGGTCTTTCGAATTTGAGCTGATGATGCAAGGAGCCCAAATCCTCGGGTTCTTCGACGGTTCCCTACCATATCCAACGCACGGGACACAATACGACAAGCAGCAGTACACGTATCAGTCGCTGATGGCATACACCATCCTCTTGCGAAACATCACGGCAAGCGAGCAGCAGAACATTCGATCTTATCGTATATACGGCAACTCCGCTGAGCTCGCCTACAACCATCTGAAGAACCTGTATCAAGCAAAGGACAGCGTAAATCAGAGTCGTCTCATGGCGCAATTGACAACAGTTCAGATGCAACCCGACGAAAAGGCAATGGCATATATCAGTCGGTGTCGCGGATTGCGCGACAGACTCCTTCGATGCGGCGGAACACTATCCGAAGACGCCTTCGTCACCGTCGTCCTTGCAGGCATCAGACCCCAGTGGCGTTCCACCCGAGCTATTCTTCGACGCCACGGAAGAATCTCTGAAGCAAGCCTTTGCGCAGAACTTCATGCCGAGCAGCAAGATATGGACCTGTATGAAGAACGACACAAGAAAAGGGCATCAGTACTAGAATTTGCCTTCCACATTCAGAGGCGATACAGCAACAACCGACACCGCGAGCATCAAGCACAGAGATACGTACCACCGTTCTGCCACCTCTCTCGAACGTCCGGACGCTCGCGCGTCAACTGCCCGAATAGTCAGCAACCAACACCGCCGTGTCAGCTCCAACCCTCAAGCAGTCAAGTAACCTCCACGCAACCACAGCCCTCGAACCAGGCGCAGCCTCTAAAGGCAATACCACGACCTGCGCAAGGAACAAGGAACATCGTCAGTTGCATGACAAGAACGGGCTCCTGCATCACTGGATCACCACCAACCTACTCACCAAAAGAACTGCTCGACGAACGAACACCTCATCGCGAGTTGCTGGAACCGAATCCGACATACGCCGCCATCGCTCCGAATGAACCGTCCGGGAAAGACACATGGTTCTTGGACAGCTGCTGCGGACAACACATGTTCTCCTCCGATCGCTTCGTTCAACGGGAACAACACCTCAACCGGGAAGTCGTAATTACCGTCGCCAACAACCAGAACCTGCGCACACGAAGACAAGGAGTGGTTCAGTTACAGTCACTCGAAACCAACGTCGTTTTACAGATGTCCAAGGTTTTGATTGCAGGAGGACTTGGCTACAACTTACTCAGCGTAAGCCAACTCATGGCCAAAAAAATCCACATCGAGGCCGACAGCACCACTCAAAAATTCAAGTTGTACCACGGGAAAGGCGGACTCTACATCGGAAGACCAGTCCTGAAGAACAACGTCTTCGTCCTCGACTTTGTCCCAGATCGAGGCACTGCCGACAGCGATGGGATCGTCAACTTCACCACCTGAACGCATCCGCCAGATCTCGATCCCGACTTCAGTCCCAGAGGCTTCTGGTACTCGCACACCATACCTGAAGCAGAACGAACAAGAGCGTTAGCCGTGATACAAGAGACAACAGCAGCAGGAACAACACCGGCAGAAACAGAAGAAACAACAGCAGCAGGAACAACACCAGCAGAAGCAGAGACAACAACAGCAGGACCAACATCAAACCTCCCTATCGCTGGTCCCTCAACGGCACCACCTCCCCTCGACGAGCCGACACCAACTCCAGCCCGACATTTGACTCCCGCTCTACGCGCCAACCACCGAAGTGCTAACATCACCGCCAGGTTCTACTCCAATTCCGACCTGTACAGAAGATTACCTGGACATCGCGCCAACGAATCACTGTGGCACAAAAGATTAGGCACCCCAGCAACACGACACTGAACAACACGATAAGAGTAGGAGTTCTTGACATAGACTCTCTACTCTTACTTTCAGAATAACTAGGCAAGAATGAATGAACTAGCAGAAGTTTGGGTACAAATATGAAACCCTAGTTGGGGTTGTACCCCATATTGGCTACCCCACTACAGCCTACAAGCATAATACAGTTTAACACACCCCCATAGGCAAAGTGGGGGAGAACAAAGGGTCACAAGACCAGTCCAGCAAAGCAAAGCAAAGCCCAGGGTGGATCACAATGTCACCACACTCCGAGCACAAGTAAAGGCCACAAGGCCAGTTCACATGCAGTGCTAGATATAGTACAAGACAAGCAACACAGTGATCAAAACCTAGCAAGCAAGCAACAAGATATATATAAAGTACAGTACAAAGAATGTCAAGCAGTGAGCAAGTGAGGAAACGTGGACACAAGGCCTAAAGAAGTACAGTGCCGCTGATGATCACTAGGCGGGAGCGCCTTGGTGAAGATATCAGCAGTGTTGGCCTTCGAGTCCACGTACACAAGCCGAAGCTGACCGCGCTGCTGAAGCTCTCGAGCAAGAAAGTAGCGAAGAGCAATGTGCTTCGTCCTGTGCTCCAGTCTGTGCTCCTGACACAAGGCAAGAGCCGCCTTGTTGTCACCGTACAGAACTGGAGGAGAACTAGGCCGCTCTCCCAAGTCAGTCAGCAGGTAGGTGAGCCAGCGTAACTCCTGTGCAGCCATGGCTGTGGCGTAGATCTCAGCCTCACAACTAGAGCCGAGAACAGAGGAAGAGCGGGTGGACCGCCACGAGACAGAACCAGAGCCAAGGCTGAAGGTGTAACCCTGTGACGACCGCTGCGTAGCCAGGTCGTCCACCCAAGAAGCGTCCGAGTGGCCAGTGAGGACAACTCTGTCGCGTCCTCCAAGCACCAGCCCCATGCCTGATGTACTGCACAAGTAGCGCAGCACCCTCTTAGCAGCCTCCCAGTGCTCTCGCCTGTGTCTCCCAGGCGCAACGTAACGAGCAAGGATGCTAAGAGGGTACGCGAGGTCAGGTCGCGTGCAAGTCATCAGGTACATGAGGCAGCCCACAAGCTCTGGGTACGGGCCACTCGGCTCTACGGACTCGTCCGGAGGTGGAGCTGAGAGCGAGTGGCTGGTAGCCAGAGGTGTGGCCTGTGGTGAGGAGAACTGGAAGCCGAAGCGCTGAAGGACCTGCTGCACCATGTGTGACTGAGTCAGGGTGATGGTGCGGCGAGCTCTGTCCCGGGTGATCTGCAAGCCAAGGTAGCTACGCAGCTCACCCAGGTCAGTGCAGGTGTGTCTCTTCTGCAGCTCCGACTTCACACGAGCGAGTGCCTCAGTGTCAGCAGTAGCAAAGACCAAGTCGTCGACGTACACGAGAATGTAGAACGGCGGCAGCGACGTGTCTGTGCGCAGAAACAGCGACGGGTCAGCAGTAGACGGCGCGAACCCAAGAGCCGCAAGTGTAGTCCTCAGTGTGTCGTGCCACTCGCGTGGCGCCTGGCGGAGACCGTAGACTGGCCGGCGGAGGCTCCACTGGGTACCAGGAGGAAACGACCCAGTAAAGCCAGGTGGGCGGCGCAGCCAGATCTCCTCGTGCAGGCTGCCCTGCAGGAACGCTGTGCTGAAGTCAAGAGAG